ACTGCAAATCTGTTGGGGCCAGCCCAGGTGTGTTTTAAAAGGACAACTTTTGACAGCTTGCCAGCCCTTTGTAGAATCCCTATGGTGTAGCAGCAGGCCATTCAGCCCATGCCAACCCTCCTAGGTCCATCCTCCATCCCTGTAACCCTGCATTTCCCACAGCTAACCCACCTGGCCTGCACATCCCTGGATATGATGGGCAGTTTAGCATGGCCAATCCACCCAACCTACACATCTTTGGACGGCAGACACAGACAGAGGGAGAACATGCAAACTTCACGCAGACAGTCGCCTGAGGGTGGAATTGAACCCAGGTCTCTGGTGCTGTGAGGCAGCAGTGCTAACCACTGAGCCACCGTGCTACCCAGTGAAAGCTCATCATGTGGGTTTAATTTCCTGTTCGCTATTTTTAGCCCAGCTGGCTGATGTGCTGTCATTAAATTCCTTGTCTGCACTGTTTTGACGTAGCTGTTAACCATTTGAAACAAACACGTTTCTAGGGTGCGATTGAAGGCAGAGAGTGGAATTAACCCACTGTTCTCCCTCTAAGGGATGGAAAATGGGAAGGTATTTGCAACATGGTGATGTAGAAACCACTTCTATTGGGTGTCCAATAAGCACAGCACCAAATAGAAATGGGATTCGATTATTTTTCTCTTAAACCAGTGGGCTTTCCATTGCATTGTCAGTTTGATTGTTTAATATACAGGGTTGGTGGAGCTGTGTGATGCACCACATGGTATATCAGCCTGCAGCATGTTACCGTTACTGCATATTGTTTCCGGATCGGAGTACTGTTTAATACTTTCCAGCTCTGTGTCCCAGCCCCGACCGTTTGGAAACGTTGTCTCCTGAATCACTGACTCCTGTCACCGTGCACTGCCATCCCAACTGCGTTTTTAACATGTTCTCATCCCTGTTTTCAAATTCCATCCGCATCGCCCCCACCCTATCTCTGTTAATATCCTTCAGTCCCACAGAACCCTCCTGGATCTCTGCATTCTGACCTCTTGACCATTGGTGATAATTGATTACTCTAACATTGGCGGCCTAGCCTGGAACTGCATGGGTTCTAATTACTGGATTTCCCTCCCTAACCTTCTCCACCTCTCTCTCATGTTCTGTTCCCTCCTTATGTGGCCCACTGTCTCATTTTGTTTGTGTCTGCTCCGCAGGGTAGTTTGCACGTTTACCGTGCTGTTTAAATGCAGCTTGATGTTGCTGGCCTCAGAGCCTTTCCTCTCCGTCAAGTCCACTGGGTCCACAATCTCAGGAATAGTAGGAACTACTGATACTGGAGTCTGAGATAACAAGGTGTGGAGCTGGAGGAACACAGCAGGCCAGGCAGCATCAGGGGAGCAGGAAAGTTGACGTTTCGGGTCAGGACCCTTCTTCAGAAACGTCAGCTTTCCTGCTCCTCTGATGCTGTCTGGCCTGCAGTGTTCCTTCAGCTCCACACCTTGTTATCTGGGTCCACCATCTCTCCTGCTTGCTTCACCCTCCTGTCAGCGCTGTCCAATCATTCGCCATCCTTGCTGCTTTGGTTAGAGTTGTCTCCTTGCCAGAGGCGATCTCGTTAATCTGCACAGGGCGCATATCCTACTGCAGCCCTCTCTGACTCTGGCTTTCTGCGTGCCAACCCTTCACCTTTGGTTCCATCTGACACAGCAGCTCCCTCCCTCAAGCTGTATGCCTCAACATCGCTTTCTTGCTTCCCCACTCTGCGCACTATCCTGACCGAGACTGTGCCCCCTCTCACAGCCTCTCAAAGTATATTGGAGTGTGCTGCATTCCAAGGCGAGTGCTGTTGCCAGAGCTCACTTCACAGAAAGGGCAAATTTACCGATGGACGGAGTGGGCTCAAACTAAGGCTGAAGAGCTTTCTGTCAGCCCTTGAGCTGCACCCATCTACCCACCTCGCTCACTGCCAGTCAGTGACAACTGAGTCTGGACACACCTAACCTTTTGGAGTGAGTGAGTCAGGCCCTGCAGTGTCTCCTCCCGTGGAGTGTAGGGATGTCCTGAGGTTTGCATCAGTTAGAGAGTGGAACTTCGAAGGAAGCTGCAGTTCCTGAACAAGGGGGGATGAGATCGGGAACACACACACAAAGTGCTGGAAGAGCTCACTGGGCCTGCCAGCCTCTGAAACAAAGTTAATGTTTCGAATCTGCTATGTCTCTTTCTCAGAAGTCCAGTGATATTTTGCTTTTGTTGAAGGATTAGATGAGTGGTGACTCCCAATGTGAGGGTTTCAGCCCATACTGACATCCCATAATAACCGTCAGGTAACTCAACAGATATCTCATGCTGAAAGCAAAAAGGAAATTAAAACCTCATGCAGCCAGAGAGCTCCCCCTCAAATGTTTAGTCTCCAATTTCTTTCATTGTTTCAGTTCCCAAGTACAAGTAGGCCCTGGGATTAATGTTCTTTGTATATTTTTGTGGTAGAATTTTTTCCTCGAGTGTTTTCACAAAGGTTGGATTTGGTGGTCGTACTGAGTATGTGTTTCCGTGAAAAAGGGATAGTTTTTAAGAGTTCTGTCGCAGGATCTGAGCCCGAATTTGTTTGTCCATCGCTCATTGCCCTGGAGAAGGATAGTGCTACCTTCCTGAGCCGCTGGAGCCCTAGGGGTATAGGGATACTTGCACAGCTGTTAGGGAGGGAGTTCCAGGATTTCAAATGGGATACAAAAGTGCATGTTTTTTTCCATTGAAAGCACGCAGTGGCAGCCTAATGAGCGTCTGTAGTAGGAGCATTAATTTTTTTTGTCTTTGCAAGCTGTGCATGTGAATAACTCAGAGCCTTACAAAGCAATATGTGAAGCTGGAGTCCCTAATAGCCTTAAGGTTACTGATTTCTGATGTATCCACCAAGGCAGGATATAATATTATTAACACACCTCCAGGTTGATGGAATTTACATAGGGCAAGGTATTAAGTGAAGAAATATATATATATATAATAATGCAGTGGTCTGTGTTTTGGGCACAATCCTGCCAAAAGTCGGTGTCTCTTACTCCAGCTTGTCAGGAATAGCGTCTGCTAGAAGGAGGTTTCATTGCAGTGTTTTCTGAAGTCTGTTTACTCAGTATTGTCTGTTTGAGCAATGTGCTGCAGCAAACAGTCTACAGAGTCTATTTTTAAACAGTTTCTTCATGTAGAGATAACACAGTGTGGAGCTGGAGGAATACAGCAGGCCAGGCAGCATCAGAGGAGCAGGAAAGCTGACGTTCCGGGTCAGGACCCTTCTTCAGAAATGGGGGAAGGGGAAGGGAGCTCAAATAAATAGAGAGGAGGGGTGGGGCTGGGGAAGGTAGGTGGGATGGTGACAGGTGAGTGCCGGTAGGCAGAGGTGGGGATTGGTCAGTGAGGTGGGAGGAGCAGGTAGGTGGGAGAGAAGGTGGACAGGTTGTGTCAGGTCAAGGAGGTGGGGATGAGAGGGATGGTCCCTGAAGAAGGGTCCCGACCCGAAACGTCAGCTTTCCTGCTCCTCTGATGCTGCCTGGCCTGCTGTGTTTATCCAGCTCCACACTGTGTTATCTCTGACTCCAGCGTCGGCAGTTCTTACTGTCTCTTCTTCATGTAGAGGGTAGATCGAATAAGGTCACTTTCCCACTTTCAATTTGCTTCAAGCATATGGTCTTGCTGTTGGTTGGGATAATTGATTAGAAGCACCCCCCCACCCCACACTCCTTCTCTTACACCTTCTCCCGACCCCAGCTATGTTCCCTCTAATCTTCCCTGTCACTGAGCACAACTCTGATGTTTGCACTTGGCAGCTGTTTCTGGAACCGGAGGGCCATGCATTGGCACGACACTCAGCATGCGTGGAACCTCCTAGCAGCAACACAGCCATGCAGTTTTAGGGAACATTGCTGCCTGTCACCCGAGGTCTTTCTTTAATTTCAAGAATATACTTCATTCATAAAAATCTTTATATACATAGATAGTCACTGGAGCATTTCGATTCTGTGCACAGTCTTCACATATGGAGAACAAATAAACTCAAGGCATTTCTTCCTTGAGCCAGACTATGTTTACATATGTTTGAGGCATCAGGAGGGTCCAATAACTGAACGGACCCCCATTTACCTTCAGCAGTAAGACCTCAGACAGTGGTCTTTCTCCACTGCTCCTTGGCAACAGCTGCCCCAAGGTTTAGTGCCTCCCTCAGCACATAGTCCTGGGCCTTGGAAGGTGCCAGTCTGCAACACTTGGTCGAGGTCAACTCCTTCCTATGGAAGACCAACAAGTTTCAGGCAGACCAAAGAGCATCCTTCATCGAGTTGATTATCCTCCAGGTGCAGTCGATGTTTGTCTTGGTGTGCATCCTGGGGAACACAGGGAGCACAGACTCCACATCACAGAGCTGCTTGAGACAACCCTCATCAGAAACCACTGCATCACTCTCCAGACTTCCTTTGCAAAGGTTAAATGGGATCAGTGTGGGAAAAATGTTGGGAGCTCTGGTGTAGAGTGTCTATTGTCGGCACTGTGGCAGGCAATGAGTTGGACAGAGCACAAACAATTTGTGTAGTGAACTCATCAGTCAGTTTAAATGGTGCACTGCAACGAGCAGTTAAAAACAAAGGTCCCACGAGCTAGTCACGGACAACAGTCGGGTGTGTCATCTCCAAGTATCACTGAGGAGTTGAAGGGCAGCCAATAATATTCATTTTTTCAGACAATTTTCGCATCACTGTACCTGTCTGTGTCTCTGAGCTATTTCCATTGGACAAACCAATTATCTCTCACAGAGCAAGCCCTACAGAGACACAGGGACAGATTTTGCCTGCTGTTTGCACATTCCTAGCATTTGTTACGTGTTAATAGCCCTTGGGAGACTAATTAGTGCTCCGTTAGATGGAGTTTAATGGCTGGGTGTAGATACCTTATGAAGTGTCTGATCTCTGGTTCCTAATAGAGAGGGTGAGCAACCTAGGTGGCCTTCATTAAGCAGTAGAAACTAATGTTCCTTTTCTCTTCTACCTCTCTTTCAGGATTTGGCTTTGTAACTTTTGAAAATGAAGAAGTTGTTGAGAAAGTCTGTGAAATCCATTTCCATGAAATTAATAATAAAATGGTAAGTGGCTGTGACTGGCTGTGCAAGCATGTTCTGTCTGAGTATGATGGAGTGCTCCATCACGGGTGTTACTTTCTGACTGTCACTGCCGTCAATCTCACAGCTCCTCATAGTGGAACAGAAATGTGGGAAACGGTCAGATAGCATTAGATTGGAACATTCCAGGGAGCCATACACACACACACACACACACACACACACACACACACACACACACACA